ACAGATCACCCCAATCAATGGAAGACAGTTCTGGGACTTCTACCGGTTTCTTCTTTTTTTTAGCCTTCAAGGCCGGGGCCGTCGGCTTCTTGAAGTCTGTTGTTGCGGCCGCCTCCTGCATTCTAGGCGTAGTGTTTACGCTGTGGCGTCTGCTCTCTTGTAGGGTCCGGCAATAGGGCCCGCCCATTCGGTGGTTACCCTCATAGCTTCTGCTCTTACAGAGAAGGCAGGAGTGCCTCTCTTCCTTGCATTCAGCAATGAGGTGTCCCTTATTGCCGCATCGGAAACATTTCGGCGTTACGGCCTCGTTCACTTTTGGGCACCGAATCTTCACGTGCCCAAACTCCAGGCACTTGTAACACTGGAGTGGCCTGGCCTCCACTGGCGTCACAATGGTGGCCGACCATCCGACCATAAGCCGCTCCAATGCTACAATTTTCTTCGCTACAGCGACAGGACATTTGTCCCATGCTGTGCCCATCCCGTAGGGTGAGAACTTTATGGTTCCCACTTTTATATCGGCCACATATTCTGCAGGGTCACCGAATCATCAATCCGCGTGATCCGCACCTCCGACATTTTTTGCGGTACCGCAATCTTTATGTCTGTCCTTTCTTGGAACAAAAGCCTCATAGATGTAGCCAGGGCGGTTGCTTTCCTGGTGTTGTCCTTTCCTAGCACTTCTAGGATCATGGACCCGGTGATTGTCCGTTTGGGCCTGAGTTCACCGGGTCCGATGCCTAACCCTTTAAGCGCTATGTTTGCCCTGGCTTCTTTAATAGTATCGGCCATCGTCGCACTAATGCCAGGAACTAGGCTGACCGATACAGCCGCGCTCTTAGGGACCCGCCTAACCTTCGGTTTCCCTTTTTTGGCTTTCTTCTTGGTTTTCCGCCTGGGGCTCTCTGTACCGGAAGTAGTGCCATCCGCGTCCGTGGATTGGTGTAAGATTCTGGGTGGGTGGGAACGACCCACGACCCTCCTCCACTCACCGTCCTCCTCGGAGTCTGTCCCGTAGGGAGTAGAGGATTCTTTAGATTAGTTAGATTCCTCTTTTCGGCCTAGTGCCTAATGTCAGAGACTTCGCTGGTGGTCCTTTGTTGAGGCATTCCCAGCTAACCGGGTGCAACGGATGGGGGCACTTCGAGTCGCGGTCGCGGGTGTCCGGGCTTCTACCCTCGTTTTCCCGAGGATGCCTTCAATCGTCCCCGTTAGCCGTCTCGTGATCCGGTCCTCCATGGCTAGGAGATCCCGACGGAGAGCCGATTCTTCCCTCCCTCGTTTCTCTTCCTTATGATCCTGGGCCTCAGCGGAGGCCAGATGGGGCCGTTCTCTCATGCGGTCCATTTGTGCCCTCAACTGTTCTACCGTCGTTTTTAACGTGGCTATGGTGATTTCCTGTTCGGAAACCTTCATCTCAAGGGTCGCGTTCTGGACCCTCAATTGCCTCACGTCCATTGGCACGTTTGAGCGCGCGTGCGGCTCTTCGCCGAGAACCTTTGTGACCTTGGCACAAAGCCGAAGGTCACGTTTAAAATTTCCTTTTAGGTTCGTGCTATGGTCGGCTGCATAGCGTATTCGGTTCTGCAACTCGTTGATCCGCGCGATTTGGTCAGGGGTCGAGAGGTCGCTCAGGGACGCTTCTCTTAACCAGTTAACTGTGGCGACCTCTTTTCAGAGCGCGTACCTGTATGTGTTGCGAAAATTCTGCGATGACGTGTATACTCGTCAATCACAGAGCAAGTGTCGTTGTTAAAATATTGGATCAAAATGATGGTTTTATTTTATAGAACTAACAATTTTATTACTAATATTTACTTACTCATTTAACCTAAAAATATGCTACATACATAGTAAACGAAAAACGCAGAAAAAATCAAATACTTATAAAAGTTAAAAATTCAAATTGCTGCTTTGGAGTGGCATTCAGTAAAGCAAGAAATGATACGTAATGGGACTTTGCACCTTCAACACCAATATCGTGATTCTTTTCTAATCTTATTTTTATAACAATTTGAACACCTTAGTGTAAGATTGTTTTTTGATGAAGTGCCTGGTATATAATCGGGACCATGTTTCCCCATGAAGTGTGTAACATTAAGTTTAGTTGATCGAGATTGTGTTGATTTTACTGGTTCGATTGGATACGATGCAATAGCTTCTTCAATATATTCCATTAAGAAGTTTACACGCGTTAACGTTTCATTATTCTTTTTATATAGCAGAAATAAATTTAAACAAATAATATCTATGTTACGGCGTGAACAAAGGTTCGCGACGCGATATGAACTCTACGTTCTGTAATGCTCACCTCCAACATAAATTTAATTGTGATGGAAGATCGTTAGTTTTTAGGAGAGGAAGACGTGACTCCTAAGATGTATGATAAAAGAATGTTTAAAGAAAACTTTAATTATTCCGTCCAGTAATTATTTTGTAAATAATTTAATCTCAGTTGGACTCTGGCATGCCAATTGTTAATGTGTGCATTTCGAATTATTAACTGCGTAACATGATTGTTTCTTGGTAATAAGATCGGATATTTTTTGCCGTAATTCATAGACGCATTTGTTAATCTGTGAATCTACAAATGGATTGAGTGTGAGTAGTTTGCTTTTGGTATGTAATTGAATATCGTTTCTTAGCTGTTCTAGATCATGCAAAATGTGCGTCCTGTACATGTTTTATAACTTATGCCCGTACGTCCCTCAATTCCTGAATGCTATAATTTTGCGTGACCTTTTGAGTTATCTGTCTATTATGTATGGCCCCACGACAAAATGCCAGGAATCTATCTAATTTGTCCATAGTCGAGAATCGTTCACATGTGTCATTATATTTAGATTTGTTTGTTGTTCTTAAGGTTACTAAGCTAATTAAGTTACATTTTTGTGGTATTTCTATTTGCGTTAATGGATTTGCCTGCCAATGGCACTCACTTTGAGAAATGCAGGACTGTGAAACCATTGGTTGTTTTTATGTAGTTTCCTGACTATTTGATTACATAGATGTATCTTATTATACTTTAAATTTACCCCTTCTATTACCGTATGCATTAACTTGCTTAACCTTTTATGACAGCGCGTTATTTGCATGTCAGTCGCTGCGACTGATCGTCCATTGACCGACTAGTGTCCAACGACCAAAATAGTATTCGAAGATTTGATACCATTCTTAGGATTTAAAAAATAATAATTGCAACTAAATAAAAAATATCCATTTTTTTATTTGTTTTTAGTAGTTGTTTAAGCTATTTTAATTTACTTAACTCAATTTGCATATTCTTTCAATAATAATGGGTAATTAAATATAAAGGTAAAAATTCGGAATTGATAATGAGGAACAAATTTATTTTAACATAACAACAACAAACAATTTTAACATAATGAACGAATAAAGATAATAAAAGGATAATTGAAAAAATTTAGTAATCAATTTGCGTGTGATATATCTTAAAACATGGATCAATGCATAAACCTACATCGCATTATTTGCATTCGTATCTACTTTCTCGGGGAATTTTATGTTTACTACACACTACACATTTTCGCGTTTGATTTTTTTTTCGAAGATGGATTAAAATATGTGTTTGGAAAATGCCTTTCAATGAGACGTAATGGACCGTCAGTATTCCTTTTGCATGGATATGTATTGGAAAAGTTCATAGATATTTTTCAAATATTTCTTTTATCAGTTGTAAATGAAATGTTGCGAAATGTAACTCTTTACCTGATACGTATTTATACAAAACATACGAGTTCCAAATATTTACATCTAACAAATGGAAAAAAAACTTTTTATACCACTTATAATTTTTTCTTATGCACTCAGTTGTACTAATCACCGTATCAGTCTGATGGACAACACCCATATAACGATTGTAGTCTTGAATACATGTCGGTTTATTTATCGGTAATTTTGTTCGATAATGAAGCTTCCCTGTCTGTACAATATCAGCGTTATGTAAACTGGTCAACATCCACACTTCTCTTTCATCCTGCCATTTTAAACATAACAGGGTGCCAGAAGATCGAAATGATATTTCTCCTTTTTGTAATTTGTTTGGAATAATTGGAAGATGTGATGTTTGCGGCTTTTTTTTACGGTACAACTATTTGTCTGGTTCCGGTGTAAGATGTTAAATAAAACTGGACTCGTATATCAGTTATCAACATATAAACTGTGACCTTTCCCGAGGTAATCTTTCATCAGCGTCATGACTATATTAACGGATTTATCTAAACCTTCTTGAAACTCAGAAATTTGTATATTCAAATCTGAGTATATTAACAAATCTAAAATATATGCCGTTTCACAGTCGCAAATAATGAAAGATTTTATGCCAAACCGATTACGTTTAGACGGAATGAATTGCTTGAACGATAAGCGACCTTTGAATAATAATAAACTTTTATCGATACAAATATTTTGAAAAGGGTAGAAATTTTGTTTTAAAAGCAATCGAAAATTATCATTTAATTCACGAATTTTAAACAATGAATCTTTATAATTTGATACTTCGAGATTGCTGAAATGGAGGCACTGCATTAAGTTCAGAAATCTGTCTCGAGGCATCATATTATGAAAAATGTCCGTTTTTAGAAATTTGTCGTTCGAGCAATATTCCGAGTAAGAAAGTTTTTTTGCATGCGACATTAACAATACGGTATCCAAGAAACAGTATATTTCATCTGCACTAGTATTATACTACGAATTTATTCGCGAATTGATTTTCCAGTTATGCTTTCTTTTTAAATAATTATGATAGTTATTTGTTTCCTTTACAATGAAATCTACTAAAAATTCTGGGAAAAATAATTGGAAATAGACCAACGGTTTTGATATCTTGTCCAGGGCTGCTTTGCATCCAGAATTTGTTTTGTCAAAA